CCATGGATAGGAAAAGCAGATAAATAAGTTGTGGTATATTCACAAATGAAATTCTACGTGGCAATAAACAAACTGCTGATATACACACACCAAAAGGACATTCTCTGTGATTCTAATTGTCTGAAGCAGAAAACCAAGTAAAACTAATCGACAGTGGGGAGCTTCCTGGGGTACAAGAAACATGCTCAACCATGATCTGAGCCCAGGCCTTAAGTCATATACATTAATCAAGCAGTTCACTTAAGGCTGGTATATTTTACGCACTTTACTATACATACGTTATACCAAGAAAAACAGACAAACAAAAAGAATAGAATAAGAAGTTTCCCTGAGAAATGCCTCCCATATGAAAGGGTTCATCAAGTCAGTGACCAATGCTCCAGCCTAGAGGCATTTCAGAACTTCAAAGATAGAGAGAAAACTCCAAAAGGTCCAAATTTAGAAAGAAAAAGAGAGTGAGACAGAAACTCAGATTGGACCAAATCCCCTCGCTGGCGCCCAGGATGCCCTTTCCACGCTAAGTGGGGCGCCCGCTCCAGCCCCTCCCAGGCACCCGGAGGGAAGACTCCAGGGCTTCTCTCTCACTGAGCTGCACCTCAGTTGGGACCTGAGCATGTTCCCAATAAACCAGACACGGCCCAAGAGAGGGACCTGCGCGGGCACCACACCTCCAGGGAGGGAGGGAGGCCAGGAGGCGCAGACCCCCGCGTGAACGGAATCACAATCCAAGCCGTCTGTTCCTCTCCCAACTCTCTTGTTTTCTAAGAAAGGCACCCAAAACCTAACACAAAGAGTAACAGTTGAAGTAAAATCCATAGATTTCAACCCAACCCAACAGACTGGGGGCAGGTGGTGGGAAGTGAAAAGATAGGAGTCTTCCCCGGGGGAGGACAACAGGTCAGCTCCGGTCCGGTCTGGAGAAGAGAGGCGCCTTGTGGAGAGACGGCACCCCTCGGTCCCTGCAGCCCTCACCCAGACAGAGATAGGACGATAACACCGGGGGAGGCAGCCAAAGACAGGAGGGTACACCTGCCACGGTGGGCGGAGGGAGGGCCAGCCCCTCCTCAGGGGCCAGGCCGCTGGCCGCTGGCCCCAGGCAGGAGCCCCGGGAAAGGTGTGAGGAGGACGACAGAGTAGGCTGCCCCCCAGGCTCTGGGCCTCCCCAAACAGCTGAGTGGGCTCCACCTCGGCCTCAGACCTCACCGAGCCCGTTCCGAGGAGTCCGCGAGTTCTGCTTTGATTTTGTACTTAAACCAAGGGCTATTTGAAGTTTTTTTTAAAATTAGGTGGGTTATTTCTCTTTCTTTATTGCTAGTTTCCAGTTTTACTTCCATGAATATGTCTGCATGAATGCTGCTCTTTACAACTACAACTGATTTGAGTCCGATGTACCACCTATTCTAGGTTTTTGGAAATATATACGTTCTTTTTTTTTTCCTTATAAATTTATTTATTTTTGGCTGTGTTGGGTCTTCGTTGCTGCGTGCAGGCTTTCTCTAGTTGCGGCGAGCGGGGGCTGCTCTTCGTTGTGGTGCGCAGGCTTCTCATTGCGGTGGCATCTCTTGTTGCCGAGCACAGGCTCTAGGCGCGTGGGTTTCAGTAGTTGTGGCACATGGGCTCAGCAGTTGTGGCTCGCAGGCTCTAGAGCTCAGGCTCAGCAGCTGTGGTGCATGGGCTTAGCTGCTCCGCAGCATGTGGGATCTTCCCGGATCAGCGCACGAACCTGTGTCCCCTGCATTGGCAGGTGGACTCTCAACCACTGCGCCACCAGGGAAGCCCGGCAGGCGGATTCTTAACCACTGTGCCACCAGGGAAGTCCGGAAATAGATACATTCTCTATAGGGGATAAACTTCTTCATGTGCAGAAGATCTTAAAGTCAGCCACAGAGAAAAAGAAACATTATGTGATAGCACCAGCTAGAAGAAAGCAGGTGGAACTAGGCCAGTACAAGTGGGATTGAAGGCCAGAGCACTGCTTTAGCAATGGAGACTCAGGCTACCAGCCAGGAATAATTGTGAATTTGTGTTCACTAAGGAGTTCCCTGGTGGTCTAATGGTTAGGATTCCGGGCTTTCACCACCGTGGCCTGGGTTCAATCCCTGGTTTAGGAACTGAGATCCTGCAAGCTGCACAGCACGGCCTAAATAAATAAATAAGTTTGTATGCGCTCAACTTCTACACACATAGTCTTAAAACAGGCAAAACAAAAGACCAACAAAACTATGGGTAGAAATGGACAAACCCACAATCATCACGGAGATCTTAATATGCCCTTTCAGTGACAGACAGACAGACAAGCAGAACCAAAATCAGTGAGCTCTGGGAGGAAATCTGACCCAAGTGACATGTACAGAACACCCCACTTTTTGCAGAAAAATATTTTCAAGTGCCCAAACTGATTGTAACTGACCATATGTTGGGCCATAACGCAAGCGTCAAATCATTTCAAAAGACTGAAATCCGACAGAGTATGAGCTCTAAACACAGAAGATTCAAGCTGGAAGAGCCAACAACACTAATAAACCCATGGGGTCAAAGGAAAAAGCTCAATGGAAAATTTACAACATTTTGATGCTAGTCATAATTAGAAGCCCACCACCTGCCCTCACGGCAGTCAGCCGACGCGGATGTCAGCCCTACTGGATGGGGGAGTTGCGGCCGAGTCTATGCTGGCCACTCCCATCCACAGCAGCTACAGGAGGTGGGTCCTCGAGAGCCAAGGAGAAGGTGACCAGCATGTAGGCAAGGATGCTGGACCTCACCAAGCCCATCTTCCCAGTGTGCAAGTGAAGATCGCGGAGCTTAGGGACACACCCAAGACGGAGGCACTCTTATGTGCCATAACATTCCTGACAGCGTCCTCACAGAGTGTCTGAGAGGTCCCAGCAGAGGGTGTCCCTGCCTGAGCTGACCACAGCCAACATCACACTTAATGGTGAGAGACTGGACACTTCTCCTGAAATCAGGAATAAGACACCTGGATTCACCGTGGTGCTGGAGGTTCTAGCCAGGGCTGTCAGGGAAGAAAATTAAAAGGTGTCTAGGGCTTCCCTGGTGGCGCAGTGGTTGAGAGTCCACCTGCCGATGCAGGGGACGTGCGTTCATGCCCTGGTCCGGGAGGATCCCACATGCCGCGGAGCGGCTGGGCCCATGATCCATGGCCGCTGAGCCTGCGCGTCCAGAGCCTGTGCTCCGCAACGGGAGAGGCCACAGCAGTGAGAGGCCCGTGTACCGCAAAAAAAAAAAGGTGTCTAGATTGGAAAGTATAGCAAAGCTATATCTATTTTCAGATGTCGTGATCTTATATATAGAAAATTCTCAGGAATCCGCTAAAAAAACTATTATAATATGTGGGTTTTTCAAGGGCTGCAGGATACAAGAACAATATACAAATACCTCTCATATTTCTATACACTGGCAACAAACAACCAAAAAATGAAATTTAAAGAGCAATTCAACTTACAATAGTCAAAAAGAATAAAATATTTAGGAATAAATTTAGCAAAGAAATGTACAACTTATACTCTGAAAACCATAAAAATTGTTGAAACAAATTACGGAAGACCTAAATCAATGGAAAGACATTCCACGTTCAGGTCTCAGAAGACTTCATCTTGTTAAGACAGCAATACTCCCCGAATTGGTCTACAGAGTCAATGTAAATCCCTATCAGAATCCCAGTTGGCTGCTTTGCAGAAACTGACAAACTGAACCTAAAATTCATATGTAAATTCAAGGGACTCAGAATAGTCAACAAAACAATGTTAAAAATGAAGAACAAATTGGGAGGACTCACACTTCCTGATTTCAAAACTTGCTACAAAGATGCAATAACCAAAACAGTGTGATACTAGCAAAAGGACAGACACAGACCAATGGAACAGAGGGGAGAATCCAAACCCTCACGTTTACGGTCACTGACTTTTGACAAGGGTGCCAACTGAATACAGCCTGTTCAGCAAATGACGCTGAGAAAGCTGGATATCCACATGCAAAAGAGTGAAGTAGGGCCCTTACCTTACACTAGACACAAAAACTAACTCAGAGTGGATCAAAACCTCAACCTAAGAGCTAAAACCACAACACTCAGAAGGAAACATAAGCATAAATCTTTGGGATTTGGATTGAATCAGGCAACCTTTCTTACGACACAAAAAGCACAGGCAACAAAGGAGTAAATAAACCGCACATCATCAAAATTGAAAACCTTTGTGCTTCAAAGCATACCACCAAGAGAGTGAAAAAACCCACAGAATGGGTGAAAATTTTCTGCAAATCATATAACTGATAAGAGAGACTTGTATCTAAAACACATAAAGAATTTTTACAATTCAATAAGAAGACAAATAAGCCAATTAAAAACAGGCCAAGGTTTTTTGTTTTTTTTTTTTTTTTTAGCAGCACTTGGGCCTCTTACTGTTGTGGCCTCTCCCGTTGCGGAGCACAGGCTCCAGACGCGCAGGCTCAGCGGCTGTGGCTCACGGGCCCAGCCGCTCCGCGGCATGTGGGATCTTCCCGGACCGGGGCACGAACCCGTGTCCCCTGCATCGGCAGGCGGACTCTCAACCACTGCGCCACCAGGGAAGCCCCCAGGCCAAGGTTTGAACAGACATTTCTCCAATCTGTTGTGGACTGGGATGGTTACCAAATACAACAAAAATGGCACCACACACCAAACTGCTATAAATTTGTTTTTCCTATGCTTATCGCAACTGAAACTGTAACAAACAGGTGTGGGCCCGTTAGGGTCCAGAGACCTCAGAGTAGCCCTGGCAGAGAGCCCCTGCAGGAGGCCCAGGGCACTGCAGGGCACCCAGGCAGGGTCCTGACGACCCGGGGAGGGGACTCCGCCAACAAGTCCTCCCAGAAGTGGGGCCTGCACTGGCTTGGTGACAAGGATGGGGGGTTCACGGCAGGCTGTCACTCTTATCCTTCGTCCCACATCCCTGTCCCGCCTCAGGAGCCCACCCTCTTCCAGTAGCACCCATGGCGGGAAATACCGTTCTGCAGGGTCTGTGCTCTTGACTCCTTTCCCAGGTTCACGTGGAAGCCGCCGCCCAGGGTTGGGGTTTTGCCAGCACCTAGAGACACAAATCAGACTCATGAGCCGACACTGGGCAGAGATCTGTGTCAACAGCCCTTTCGTGCATCAGCGTCTCTGGAGCCAGATTCAGAGCAGCAGGCCTCAGCGAGCATCTCACCGCACCACTCACACCTCTGCCCTGCTAACAGGGTCGTGGCCTTGACCTGGAGCCGAGGGCGTGGACCATGCCCATCTGCATTCTCTAACCATGTCCCAGAAGAGACTGTCACACAGCTCTCCAAACTACGGCCCAGGCCTGGCCCGGCCCAGCCCAGCCCCTCACCTTGGCCCTCTGCGGGCCCTGGGCCAGCCAATTCACATTTATTATCGCATCCATCTCCCGGGGGGCGGAGGAGGGGGAGGGCAGGAGCCAGTCTGCAGGAGACGCTCGCACCTCTACCCACCTGTGTGCTGCCCGCCCACAGAGCAGCAACCTAGGAAGCCCTGGAACCCAACGTGTAGCTATAGCTGCACCTACAGGCGCTCTGTTTTGAACCTCCCACCAACTGCAAGCCTCCCCAGGACGTCTCACGTGCTCCACTCTGCAGGGCTTCAGGGCAGGGACTTCTGCCCTGATACCCCGTGAAGACAGCCAGGTGGACATCCAGATTGTTCACCAGACTTACAAACCCCAGCGCTGAAGTGTGATCTTCAAAGGAGCGCCACGCCTAAGTGAGGGGCGCAGGCGGCCAGGCACAGGCGGGGGAGCGGGGAAGCGCTGCGCATCCCACAGGCCAGTGTGTCTGTTACAAAGTACAGAGCAAAGGATTAGAGGCTCCTGAAGTTAGGGAACACGACCTCACACTGTTAGCCACGTGGGGGAGGTAAGGGTGCAGGGTCTGCTGGAGGATGAAGTGGAAACTCAGAAGTGACAGGGATCTGGGATGCCAGGTCACTGAAGTCTGAGAACAGGCCCCTGAGGAGAACACGCGGCCCGCCTCCTGGGGCCAGCAGGGACCTCTGGGTCATCCATAGGCCGGCTACCAGAACAGACAGTGGAAAACAAGTCGGCCTTCGGCTTCTCTGTGACTGCAACCAAATCCCAAACCAGCACTAACAAGATTCTTTAGAGATCTCAGCAAAACGATTCTAAAGGTCAGCTGGGAAAGAAAGAAATCAGATGGGCTAAGAAAACTTTGAAACGAGCAACAAGTAGGCCTGGCTGGGCAGTTAGTGGGCTACGAGCAGCTGGAAGTAGCCGGGAGCACAGCAGGGGGCTGGCTGGCTGGTGGCCCCAGCACCCAGCGTCCCTGCCTCAGCAGCTTCCCTGGGGCTGAGGCCCAGGGCTGGGCAGCGTCCCCCACCAACTCCTGTGGTCCGACAGTGGGGTCTAAGCGCCGGCCCCAGTGGGTACTGGCAGGGAGCCCATGGCTCTCTCACAGTAGGATGTGGAGCCTGGGGACAGGTGGCGGTGCCTGGGGAAGGTTTTGCTGTCACCCTGGGTGTGCTGGTTTTCTATCACTGCCCTGACAAGTTACCACAAACTTAGTGTCTTCAAGAAGCTGGCCATAGAGGGCAGGGAGGGAGAGGGCCAGGCAGGGCACACTGGGGGCCTGGAGAGGGGCCAGGGGCAGTGCAGGGCCCAGGGGAGACCTGTCCACCCGGCCCAGAAATGAGGAGCCTCCAACACTCCAGTGTTACCTCTGACTCTGCAGAAGCCCGACATGGGCTCACCGGCCTGAGACGGGGTCTGCATCTTGTTCCCTCCTATTTTGTGGCAGCTTTTATACACTTCAGGATTGTTATATTTGTGATCTTTTGGACGTAGGAACCACTGAAGAAGGCCACAACCCCTCAGCCCCTGGCGAGGACGGCCACATTTTGACCTGCGTGCAGTGCTGCCCAACTTTTATTTGAGAAAAAGGAAAAAAAATCACCACATTGTTTTAACGGAAATCAGCACATGTTTTAAGCAAACAATTACAATAATGTTGCATTAGAAAAAGGACAACGTAAGGGTATAAATCCCCTGAAGCCCCACCTTCCAGGCACAAGGACCCTGGGGGGCCTTCCTCCCAGCCACCTCTCCCTGCTTAGACACAGATGGGAAGCGACCAGGGCAGGTCACTCAAAGGTGCTGCTGAGTGAGAGTGGAGCCTCGTTCTGGGTGAGCATTAAAGGCACTGCAAGACCTTGAGAGGTCACGCCCTCCCCTCACCCTCTCCCCTCACTCCCCCCCGCACTCCCTGCACGTGCTCCCCCCTGCACTTCCAGGACCTCTATTTCCTGCTGCGGTGCTGTCCTTCCCTGTCTCTCCCCAACGCCCCAGTCACGCTTCCTGGGGCTGCTCCGGCCCCACCTGCTCTGGGAGCTGATGCTTGCTGCCCCGTGCACACTCACATATACATACACACCACCCTGGTGCTCTCCAAGGCCCTTGTACATAGCCTCAGTCCTGCATGTGCTCCCAGGAGAAACAGGGACTAAGTCCTGGCAAGGAAGGTGCCTTACTAGGTCCAGCCAGCTGGGGGAAGGGAGGGGGCAGGTCAAAACCTGCTTGCCAAATGGATGCATATTCTTTTATTCAACAAATACTACCCACTGGGGATTTGGTTACAGTAGATAACATCTGGAAAGCAGTGGTGGAGCCTATGAAAAGTGCTTATTCAGCAAATCTCAAATAGCTAACACCATGGGGCTAGGGTCCCCTGAAGCGTGAAAGAAAGCTTGAGTACCACCTATGACCAAAACCATCAATGCACGCTGTACTTGTCTTTCAGATGCCCTTCATATTATTCCCTCTACTTCTAAAAACATTTGATATTTTCTATAACAAGATCCTGTAACAAACAAGATACAACCAGCTACATCTAACAACAAGTAGAAGTTGCAGTTCTTATCAGCACAACCGGGCCAAGACTGCCCCCTTGTGGACAGCAGGGGAGGGGCCAGAAATTCCACCCAGAGGCACCTGTGCCCCTCCCAGCTGTGGCTGCAAAAGCAAGAAGGTGCAAAGGCCTGACCCCTGCAACTTGGTGGGGGGGCGGGGGGGTGCTTCTCGGCCACTCTGAGCACTGAGGACAAAGCCAGCAACACCAACACCCCAAGACCGCAAACAGAAAAGCAGCACAAAGCCCCGTCCTCCATTTCACTCACGGATCCCTCCCACATGGGTTAGCAAAACCTTTCCTAAGTCTGTATTCATTTTATTTAAAGTGAGGGGTTTCTGTCACTGCTGTGAAACTCCTTTTAAGGGGGGACAACTGCACGAGGTCCAGCTGGGCGGTTCCAGGATGGAAGAGAAATCCAGTGGCCCCTCGACCTGAGCTCGGACGTTGGCATAACTTCCCTAAGGCACCCGAAAGACACTCAGCAAGTCCACATTGAGCCCCGGGCATGGGGCTGTGGCTGGACACAGACCTCTTGCGGTCAGTGAATCAACAGCTAAACAGTGGCGGCAGCCTAAACTTCTGTCAACCAGACACAGCTACTGAAGAGCCTGTTTTGTCACGATTAAAAGTCTGATTATGGAAACCACGCAGCATGCAGCATGGCAGGTGTGATAAAAGCAGCAAATGACATTTTAGGAACAACATTCCTCTCTCACGCAAGTGCCTCCAGGACAAAACTCAGCCATTTCCTGAGAGCAGGTCCCTTCCCGCAGGAACTCAGTGGGGCTCTGAGGGGCCACAAGATAGAAACAGAGATGCAGAACCTCTGAAACTCCAGGACCAGAGCTTGGCCAGGACACCTGGTAGGCTGTGCCCGAGAGAACCCTCTCCGGGCAGGGCACAAGCCAGGCAGAGGGCAGGTGGGTCTGCTGTTCTTTAGGACCCAGGGAGCTGCCCCAGCGAGCAAGAGAGGCTCCACCCCCACCAGAGCTGGGCACCAAACCTTCCTCATCGTTTTACGCATGGAAAGCACCTCATTACTCATAACCACGAGAACACTAGCACTTACAGACACCTTGGCTTCAGGGACAAAGTTTGCAGCGATTAAAAGCTGTGGTCATGGAACCCTTGGGGGTGCACCCCAGAAGAGGAAGGGAAGGACCCAGGGAAGCAGGAGCTCCCTCTGCCTCTGGGTTTCATCCTGGGGGAGCAGCAGGTACAGCTCCCGGGAGGGGCCCGCAGGCTCACCGTGCACCATCAACTGCAGCGGACACCCAGGGGAAAGACCTGCTGTCCTCGAGACCTTCAGCACCGACACCAGGGACGGGATGCTGGCGTGGGCCTGTGCCAGGAAGCCCTAGTCTGCCCCTGAGCTCCTTGACGCTCTGGTGAGCCCTTCCCCCATGACTCAGTGGGACCCTCCTCAGGCCCGCAGAGGCCCAGCTGCCCCAGCTCTGCCCACCACCTTGCCATTCTGCAGTCCTCACATCCATCCCTTCTCTCAGCCATGCCCATCCCCTCACCAGCTGCCCATCAACTGAAAGGCACAGCCCAGACGCCCCCAGCGCCACCCTAGCTGCCACCACTCTGCAAGCCCGGCCTGGGACGCTGGACCCACCCTTTGCCCGTCCTCAAACATCTACCAGGGGACCCAGGGGGCTGGGATTCCTCGCCTCCGGACCCTGGGCCTGGGTCACAGTCAGAAACCCAGCTGGTGACAGGGCCGCTGGCCACAGGGCCCTGACGTCTAATTTACGTATTCTCAAGTAAACTGAGGAGCTGACCATCCACCACTCCTTCTCAAAGAGTAAACAAGGACGCTTAAGAAAGACAGTGGCCTTGGGCCCTGCACAAGGGCACCCCAGAGAGAAGGCCCAGCTTCCAGGATGAGGCTGGAGCAAAGGAAGAGCTGGGGGCCAGCTGGGCACACACGCCGCACCAGGGAGGCTGGCAGCAGCCAGAGCTGACTACCAGGGTGGCTGCTGTTGTGATGGGGAAGGGAGGAGGCCAGGAGTCTGGGAGGGATCCACGCAGGGGAGGGAGGGGCTGCTGGAGGAGGCGGCGCCCCTTGCCCCTCCCCCTCCGCCCTGTACACAGGAGCTGAGAACCCACAACCCCTGCAGCGCTTCCCTCCAGCGAGTGAGCTCACCGGACAGAGCCAGCCCCGGTTCATGACACCTTTAAATCACACCACCAAAGGGCACCCAGCTCTGAGCCTGCGCTCACAGGCCGTGGGACCAACGTCACTGCCCACAGGTGGCAGCACATCTCTCACGTCCAGGACTCCTCTGCACCCAGCTTTGTCGTCTGCAGTGAGGACGGGCTGTCATCAGGTACAAGGGATGCACTCAGCACAGTGCCTCCCATGGGAAACCCTAAGTGTCAGCTGCTATGATTATTCCTTCTTACTGTCGTCGTTACTCTCTTCCCAACAGGCATCAGAGTCTTGGATGACTGAGGGGGCAGTTTGGCAACATGTGACAAAGCTGCAAACACAGTGCCAGGGAGACTCCCCCACAGCAGTCCCAGGAAGTTGCTCAGGAAGGACACAAAGATGAAAAAAAAACAAAGAACAACAAAAAAAAGAACACAAAGACGTGTGCCATGCAGAAAACAGGAGAGAAAAAGCAATGAAACCCAAAACTGGTTCTTTGGAAAGATCAAAAAAATTGATAAACTTCCAGCAGGAGAAACAAAGGGAAAAAGAGAGAAGATGCAAAACACCAATATCTGAAAGGAAAATGAGACACCACTACAGACCCTGCAGACATCCAAAGAATAAGGGAATAGTACCAAGAACTCTGCGTGCGTAAATTCAGCAACTTAGATCAAATGGACCAAATCCTCAAAACGACAAACTCACCCGACATGAAAGAGATATCTAAAACATAAATAAAACCTACAACTATTAAAGAAACTGAACCTGTAATCAAAAACTTCTGAAAAAGAAACCTCCAGGCCCAGAGAGCTACATTAGTAGATCCCACCAAACAGTCAGAGAAATAACACCAATTCCACACAATCCTTCCAGAAAACGGAAGAGAAGGGAACATTTCCCAACTCATTCCAGGAGGCGCATTACCTTGATATCAAAACCAGACAAAGACATTACAAGAAAACTGCACACTAATATACCATATGAACAAAAATGTAAGGATTCCCAACAAAATATTAACAAATCTAATTTAGCAACACATACAAAGAATAATACCCAGTGATCAAGTGGGTTTACCCTAGGAATGCAAAGCACGTTGAACATTCAAAAACCAGCCACACTGACAGACCAAAGAAGAAAAACAAAACTCATCATCCACTCATGATAAAAACTTTCAGCGAACTAGGAGTGGAAAGAGAACGTCCTCAACTTTACTGATGAAGAACAGGTATCAAAAACCTATAGCTAACAACATATTGCGGGAGGAGAGTGAATGCTTCCCTCTAAGACTGGGAAGAAGGCAAGCATGTCTGCTCAAAAGCAAGAAACAGAAACAAAAGAAAGAAAACAGCCCCTATTTAGAGATAATGATTGTCTACATCAAGAATCCCAAGGAATCTATTTTTAAAAATACTCCTAGAACTAATAAGTTTCGCAAGCTCACAGGAAACAGGCCAATGGCAGAAATCAACCGTATTCCTATATGCCAGCCATGAACAACTGAAAACTGAATTTCTGAAAAATACTATTGACAACAGCTCTATTTGGGTCTCAGGTAAACATCTAAAATATGTACAGGAGCTATATGCTGAAAACTTCAAACCATGACGGAAGATCAAAGGCAACCTAATGAATGGAGAGATATCTGTGCTCATGGATTGGAAGACACAATACAGTAAAAATGTCAAATCTCTCCCAATTTATCAAGAGATTTAATGCAATTCCAGTCAAAGCCCCAGCAAGATTTTTTGTAAATATACACAAACTTATTCTAAAATTGAATGAAAAGGGAAGGGAACTACAATAACTAAAACAATTCTGAAAAGGAAGAGCAAAGCTGGAGGAATCACAACATCTGATTTCAAGACTTACTACCGGGGACTTCCCTGGTGGCGCACTGGTTAAGAATCTGCCTGCCAATGCAGGAGACACGGGTTTGAGCCCTGGTCTGGGAAGATCCCACATGCTGCGAAGCAACTAAGCCCATGTGCCACAACTACTGAGCCTGTGCTCTAGAGCCCACGATCCACAACTACTGAGCCGGCGTGCCTAGAGCCCATGCTCTGCAACAAGAGAAAAGTACAATCCATGAAAGAAAAATAATCAATAAAGTGGACTGCATCAAATTTTTAAACTTTTAATCAAAATTTTAAACTTCTGCTCTGCAAATCACGTATCTAACAAAGGACTTGTAACTACAATATTTAAAGAATGCTCAAAACTCAACAGTAAGGAAACAAACAACCTGAATATAAAATGAGCAAAAAGCTACTTGAACAGACATTTCAGCAAGGGGGATTAAGGGATGGCAAATAAGCACATTAAATGCTGTTTAACATCACTATGCATTAGGAAAATGCATCAACACGGAGATGAGGCACCACAACACACTAGAAACACACCCAAAATATATATAAATACTGAGACAACACCAAGTTCTGGTGAAGCAATTAGTGAGAATGAAAAACGGTGCCAGCCACATTGAAAATCCATTTGGTGGTTTGTTATAAAGTTAAACATACGGCTACCATCCACTCCTGGGTAACCACCCTAGAGAAATGAAAACCTATGTCCACGGAAGAAGCCATCCTCGAAGTTTTTAGCAGCTCTATTCATAATCACCCCCAACTGGAAACAAACCAAAGGTCCTTCAGCAAATCGTGGGCCGTGCACAGGAAGGAGCCCAGATCCTCGCAACAGCCTGGGCGAATCCCAAAGGCACAGGGCTGAGGGACAGATGCCAGTCTCCGAAGGTGGCCCACGGGCTGGTTCCATTTACGCGGCCTTCCTGAAAAACAAGACTGCAGGGACGGAGGGCAGCTGCCGCTGCGGGGAGGCGTGGGGCTGTGGAACCCTATCCTCGCTGTGGTGTTACTCGAATGCAAATGTGTTTAAATTCATACAACTGTAACCCGAAAGGAGCTGGATCGACTATGATGACTGAGAGAGGGGACGCGCTGACGTCCCCGACCCCCAGATTCAAACAACTGTCCCCCCAAGGAGCGAAGGGACTGCGCTGAGGGGGATGGGCCACGACCCCGACCCCAGGCCGCATCCTGTCCCCTGTTCCGGTAAGTTCCGTTACTAAAGCCAGAACCGCACACGCACGGAGGCCACTGGCCACCCGGTCCTCCGCCCCGCCAGCCCCGCCGGGACCCACCGTCCAGCGACACGAACTGGCCCACGGCCGACGAGCCTCCGCCGCTGTTCTCCACGAACTGCACCTCGGACACGATGATGTTGTCCTCGAGCACCGAGCCGCAGCCGGTGCACACGGCGTCGCCGCGCGCCGCGTCCAGCTCGATGTCGGTGCCGCCGCAGCCGCGGCACACGCGGCCAGTCATGCCGGCGGCTCCAGGCCGGGCCCCCGCCCGCCGGCCCCGGCCCCAGTCAGCCCGCCGGTCCGCGCGTCCGCCGGGCCCGTCCGCGGGCCCGTCCGCAGCCGCGTCCGCGCCGCCCAGACTCTCGCGAGGCCGCCGCCGCCGAGCCCGCCGATTCGCAGCGGCAGATTCGCCGCGCGGGCCGGGACGGCGCTGCCCGCCACGGTCCCGCCCCGCGGAACGGGCACGGGCTCCGGGGCCGCGGCGAAGACGCGACTACTCGAACCCGCGGCCTCCGGGCCAGGACGCAACCACCAGGCCTCGGAACTTGGGACCTACAGTCCGCAACGGCAGCGCGCCAGCAGCAGGAGGAAAGGCTGAGCGGCCTGCGGGGGCGGGGCCAGATGGGCGGGACCGCGGGTTTGTGGGCGGGGCCTTAGGAGCGAGAGCAGGGGAGTGGTGGGCGGGACGTGAGGGCTTTATGGGCGGGACCAGGGACTGTGGGCGTACCTTGTTGTGGGCGGGGCCTCAGGCGGGGTCTGAGAAGCAGAGCTCTGCGACGGATTGGCGCAGGTTGAGGGTGGAGACCCTCGCCCGGGACCGCCCGCCCCTCCCTCCGGGCTTGTGGGCAGGCTCCGCGGCTCTTAGTGGCTCCGCGGGCTCCGTCTGGCGGTGCCCTTACGCCCCCCTGCAACCCCGCTCCCTGTTGTGTGGAGCCCCCCCCGTGTCTCCCCACCCCCTGACGGTCACTTGTGCCACCTGTGGTTACCGGTGTCATCACGTTTCTGTGTCCCTCTCACCCGCGCCCTCAGTTATCTTTAGATGCCATTCACGGTCGCCGAAACACCCATGCGGTCCCCGGGAATGAGCCCGAAAAGAAATGTGCAAGACCACATTTTTTTTTTTTTGGCCGCTCGGCTTGCGGGATTTCAGTTACAGGGACCGAACCCGGGTCGCAGGAATGAAAGCCCAGAATCTTAACCGCTAGGCCAACGGAGAACTCCCAAGACCACGTTTTTCAAAAACCGTTAAACCTTGACTGTAGGATTGACAGGAGCTCTAACTGAATCAGAAAGCGCCTTATTCCCACTTGAAAGCAATGTTGTAAATACTTAAAATCTTCACGAGTCAGTTTGTAAAGTCGATTTAATCCCCACCAAAATGTCAACAGGATTTTCAAGTGACTTGATAAGCTGACCCTAAAGTCATCTGGAAGAGATACTGCACAAGAACAGTCAAGAAAATTCTAAAAAGGACTTTCCTGGTGGCGCAGTGGTTAAGAATCCGCCTGCCAATGCAGGGTAAACGGGTTTGAACCCTGGTCCGGGAAGATCCCACATGCCGTGGAGCAACTAAGCTCTTGCACCACAACTACTGAGCCTGTGCTCTAGAGCCTGCAAGCCACAGCTTCTGAGCCCGTGTGCCACAACTACTGAAGCCTGCGCACCTAGAGCCTGTGCTCCGCAACAAGAGAAGCCACCGCAATGAGAAGCCCGTGCACCACAACGAAGAGTAGTCCCCGTTCACCACAACTAGAGTAAGCCCATGCGCAGCAATGAAGACCCAACGCAGCCATAAATAAATAAATTTATTTATAAAAAAAAAAGAAAATTCTAAAAGAAGAGGAAAATTGCCCTTCTGTATATCAAAGTATTATATCAAATTACATCCATTAAACCACGAGGTATTTGTACAGGGACAAGTGGAATAAAACCAGGAGTCCAGAAACAAACCCAACTATACACGGAAATTTAGGGGCCTCAATCATTGTGGAAAAGACAGACTTTTCAGTGGGGCTGGGGTTTCCGTTTAGAGGAGGAAAAGGGTAAATTGAGCCCCAACCTCACCCTGTTCTAAAAATAAATCCCAAATGGCATTAAATGCTGAACTTAGAAACAGAACTGCAATGACTCCTGGAATAAGATACAAGAGGGTATTGTAAATCTGCAGTGGATCTCTGTCATGATGGGAGGGTGCCTGGCCTCTGAGCCCCACTGACGTGTGGCTCATCATCGCCTCACCCTGCAGGTGGCCACCCTCACCGCAGGGCGTGGGCAGTCCAGCCGGTTAAGCTAGAAGACAGTGCATGTATGGTCAGGACAACATAGTCTTTTGTTGGAAGGACAGAGCAGAATTTTGGTCACCGGTCTCATGCTGAGGAAACAGGTTGCTGCAGTGATGACTCTTGTCTTCGTGCCCCCATGCACACATGGATGTTCCTCAAGGGGCATCACTGGAGCGTAGAGTATTCCTACACTCAACACGCCACACATGGGCAAACTGATCCCCAAAATCGTCCCATGAAATTACTGTCTCATAGTTCAATACTGTTCCACATTTTGGCCAACTTTTTGTATGCTCATTACCAATTGCTGCCTAACAAACAACCACAAAAGTTCGCAGCTTCAAATGACAAACTTATCATCTCACAGTTTCTGTGGGTCAGGGGTCTGGGAGAGGCTTCGTGGGACAGTTCTGGCCCGGGATCTCCCGAGGTCACGGCCAAAGTGTGGGCCAGGGCCGTGTCCTCTGAAGACTTGGCCAGAACTAGGGGCTCTGCCTCTAAGCTCCCTCACGTGGCTCCTGGTGGGGCCTGAGCGCCTCACCCGGCGGCCCCCACAGCATCCTCACAGGGGCGCTGGGGGCCGGGACCCGCAGGACAGGAGCTGCGAGGCTTGGCTGACCGACCTGCCAGTGCCATCGCTGCACCAGCTCCACCTGGGCGTCCTGCCCACACCCGAGGGGGGAGGACCCGGAACATGTTTAAAAGCGCCACCGGCCGCCCCCCTGACCCGACCTGACACACACACGGGGCACCAGACGTCCAGCGCCACCCTGGGCGCCCAGACCCCTGCAGGCTTCCGAGGGAGGGGGACCAGCGCGGGGACCCCACTGCAGCCAGCGCGGGAGAGACCTGGGGTCCGGGAGCCCCGAGAGTGCCTCGCGACCCACACAGAGGAGGGAAGTGTCCAGAACAGAGAGCCAGGCCAGCCCCGGACGAGCAGATGCGGAGGACGCTGGACGGCTGTCTCCCTCCCGCACCTGTCACCCAATAGAGGGAAGGAGGAGAGGCTGCCCGGGCGTGGGGCGGGGCTCCCCACCCAGCTGGGCCCCGAGTCAGAGCAGTGGGCTCCCAGGCCCCACCTGGAGCACCAGGCTGGAGGGCGCCTCCCTCCCAAGGCCGAGGTGCAGGCTGCAGGCGGGGGGGGGGGGGGCGGGGGGTGGAGAGACACCTGCCTGCCTTGCAGGGAGTCCTGGGGGCAGGTGGCTTTTCTCCTCCCCATCCCTCGGGGAGAGGAGTGGGGGTCGACCCCGGGGTCTTGTGAGGAGAGATGGGGGCGCCTGGAGGAGGGAGCCCGCCCCTCGCCCTGGCTGGGGACCTGCCCAGCTGCAGGAATCCTCGGTGTGGACGCCCGAGGTGGGGATATGAGAGGGTGCGGGGGGCTTGACGAGTGTAGAGTGCACGAGGGACCCTGCAGCCTGGCCGCTGCCCTCGGTGGTGGGACGCAGGTGGGAGCAGCTGGGCAGCTGGAGAGGGGACAGGGCCCCGCGGGAGTGGCCACGCTGCTGGCAACCAAGATAGAATTGGAAGCTGTCAGTCATTTCCCTTCAGCAATTTCAAGGCTCATTCCATGGTCTTCTTTGCATCATTTCTGTTGAAAAAGTCTGTTTTTTATCTGTTTTGTTGCACTTTGAAGTTAAGCTACAATTTTTTTCCTGGACGCTTTTAAAATTTTTAAATCTCTTTCTAGGATTCCAATTACACCCATGTTAGATTTTTGCCATGTCCCATATGCCTCTGTATTTTGACACATTTTTTTTTCCCCTTCTTGTTTCCATCTGGGTATTTTCTACTTATGTAATTTCCATTTCACCAATCCTCTTCTGCTCTGTGTAATCTGCTTTTAAAACCACCTATCCTGTTGCTCACGTTCCTCATACTATACTCTGTATTTTAAATTCTTTTTTCCCCTCCTTGTTTCCATCTGGGTATTTTCTACTTACATAATTTTCATTTCACCAATCCTCTCTTCTGCTGTGTGTAATCTGCTTTTGAAACCAGCTATTCTGTTGTTCATTTCAGCTATTTTATATTTCAGTTCTAGAATTTTCATGATTATTTTTCTTTAGATTTCAATTCTCTGATGAAATTCTCCATTTTTTAAAATTTATTTTCTTGAATATATTAATCCCATTTTCAGGTTCATTCTAATCATTCCATATTGGTGACCTATGGATTTATGTCTATCGTTTTTCTTGGCTTATGTGAAATCGTTTCCTGGCACACCTGGTAATTTTGGACTAAATGATGATCATTGTAAAGAAAAACTGTGAGGCTCGGAGATGTTTTTGTCATTCAGAGAGAATTTATTTTCCTTCAGTCAGTCACACAGGTGGGGGCGACCCATACCTTGAGGCAATCAGGCGCTGATAGGATTCCAAGCTTTACTCCAGGCTTTGCAGGGTTCTCTGTCTTCCTGCTTTTCAGGCACCTTCTTTCAAAGGCAGTTGTCTCTGTGTCTGTCACCTTACCACACCTGATTAAAACACATCTCGGGTACATTTGAGATGGGCTGGGACCTGGGACCCTTTGCTGCAGGACTTGCAACTGGACACACCTCTCCTCTGGCAACGAAATACAAAGAAACTATAAGGGACTGAAAATAAATGCGTGCATGCAAACAGCTGGGGCAAATTATGGACAACAAGATACAAAAAGACCAAAAAGCCCAGCTGATGCTTCTGAAGAGCCCAGAGCAAAAGCAGGGTACTGCGCATGCCCGCTGCACACAGCACCGCCCAAGGGGTAGGCAAACTACCTCAGCCACCCCTGCAGCCTGACCCCTGGACACGCTGCTATCCTTACGCGTTATAAGGAACCAGCTTGCCCTACCTCGGGGAGCAAGTAAGGGAGCCTGCTACTTCTCCCTCTCCCCTGCTGTAGCAGGGGCCCCAGTAAAGCCTTGCGTGAATTTCTTGTCTGGCCTCTGATCAATTTCTATCGACTAAGGAGGACAAGAACCCTGGTCGGTAACACATTTACAACACTTCCCCACCGTGTGGCGGTCAGCACAGGTGAGAGGACCGGGCTGGGCACGCAAGCTTCCATCACCGCACCTGAAAATCAGCAGCTCAGTGCCCGTGGGCAAGGTCTCCAAGTTTCTATCTCCTCGTCTGCATAGCAGAGGTGATGGCACCTCCATCCCAGCATTGGCGGGGGCAGAGCAGGGGAAATGGCGTATGTGCTACAGACTGCAGTGGCGATCGCAGACCACCCAGAACGCAGGCTCCTGTCTCTGTCTGTTCTGCCCACCCTCATCAGGTACCACTGAGCGGGGGTGGGGGGGGCAGTCCATCTTCCGCCACAGAAGCCATGGGCCGGCGCCCTCGTG